ATCCTTGTTGGCCAGGGATTATGGGTGAAAATTTTGGTTACGGAAAAGAAACATCTTCAAGTTCTCAAATAGAAAGAAATTTTAACGATTTGAAAAATAGAGWGTTTAAAATGAACGAATGCCACTTAGAATTGATACTTTTATTAAAAAATTAACTTCATATTACAGAGACCATTTGTTAGTTCAAGGGCATGTATTAAATGAAAACCACACAAGTGAATCACCACAAAGAAGTAAAATAATAACATTTATCAATAATGATATAAATGACAATGGGCAATCTAAAATGTTTGATCTATATAGTATTGAAGAAAATGAAAATAATAAACAAAAAACATTATTAGAAAAAACGAAAAACTAATATCCATTCCTCGTGTAAGCCATGTAATGATGGAAATTTACCTACAGGTCTTCATAAATGTTTCAACTGTAAAATACCCGTTCATTTATTCGGGTGCTCAATTTCAATTCCAAATACAGAAGAAGGTTGTGTAGAACAAAGATTATGTCTTAGCTGTGATAAACAAAGTTMAATTCAAGCAGAATCTAGTGCAACTGAAAATTGGAACAGGAAAGAAAAACCACAAGATWATAAATTAAGATATGCTAAGTCATCGCGTTCTTATCTCGTTAATCAACCCGGTTTTGAAACAGTTGATTTAAATATAAAAAGATCAATAACTCCAATAATGTTACTGAAAAATGGAAACGATTTAATGCATAAACCTATTATAATACCAAATGTTGGAAAAATAGTATTAAATAATACGTGTTCCGTAGATTCAATATTGTCGGTATTAGCAACATCCGTGGCTGATAGTTGTGTTTTCCGAGATTACATTAATAGCATTGAAAATTCAAATTTAACTGCTGGTATAATACTCAAATTGATCTCAGAAAAGCAAGGAATTAAAATATATCACAGTCGGGCAAAATTGATGCTTCATTATTTAGAAAATAAAGTAAAATTATTAGTTGGTGGTTTAAAATCTATAGATGCCATTGATACAGTTGCATCAATGGCAGAAAAGCTTTTTAAAGATATGCCGTCCTTCATAAGATCTAGTTATTGCCAAAATAGTTACTGTTCCCTTCAAGTCTTAGAAACAACATCTACAACGTTATCTATTAATGTACAAGACGGAAACATTTCAATAGAGAACGAAGTACGAGATTATCTCCAAAATGTAACAGAAATTTGTGTTTATAGTGGACACAAGAGGGAGTGATAATCAAACCAACAACTCATATTTTAATTGAACTAAATTTGGTTCCAATAGGTAAATTAATTAATCTTAAAATATTTGTTATGAGTTATGTAGCACTGATGTACTTATATGCACTTATAATTTTTAGATTTAGAAGCTTCAACAAGTTATGAAGATATACAAGGAATTCAATTACAATTGATACAACAGAACTATTTGAAATCCAATTATTGTAAATTAAAAAATATTGTAAAAACTTTAACCGTCGACACCAAAATATACAAGTTAAGGGGAGCAATTGTTTTTCATAGTGGATAACGAGGTGGACTTCGTACAGCCAACGGGCATTATACGGCCTGCACCCTTAGATCCAATGAAAAGTGGGAACATTATGACGATACTAAAAACAAAGTACAACATATTAACGACTCATATGAAAATTATATTGAATTTATAAATTTTACTGGGCGAAGTAAATAAAAGTGTAAGTAGGTATAACTCAAAATATATAAAAATCATAAAAAATTTGAATAACTGTAAAATTTTAAATGTTAGGGAGAGTGGGGCAGATTTGAATGCGGGGTACATTTGAATTTGTCTAATATAATTTGTTACAGATTATTTATAATTATACAAATAATAAGGTATGTTGGTTACACTGTTCTGTAGACCATATGTGATTATCAGGCATTTTCGGACAATTTTGTGATAAGGAAAAATGATAATGTGATTATCCGACTTTTTTTTAAAAAAAATAGCGTGTTCCGTAAGAACTTTTTTGGAACAAAGATCAAAAATCGTAAGTAATGAATTATGTATACCTATTCAAAATGTTGTTGCCTAGTAATATATCTAATGTGCATACGTTATTTATAGTTATTAAAATTTATATTACTATTATTCGTTAATATTTTGGCATGGGGCAGATTTGAATTTTCATTTATGGGGCAGATTTGAATATTTTTTAAATATAATATTTCTCAAAGTATATTTTTTATTTTTCATTTGTATGTTTAGAATATGGTGCGAAATTATCAAAAAAAGAAGGTAGTTGATGTTGACTWAGAGGTTAAGATAAAAACAGCAGTTGAAGAAATAAAAAATGGTAAATGTGTCAAAAGAGCAGCTGAAGACAACAATATTAAACACACAACTCTATTTTATAGAGTGAAAAAAATGAAGACTGCTGATGGTAATTGGATCAACAATGAAGTGCTCAAATTCCAATCCAAGTATAGTGTCAAACAAGTATTTACTCAAGCACAGGAATTGTTACTAGTCGAATACATAGTCAAGTGTTCAAAGATAAATTATGGGCTAACAACAAAACAAATTAGAAAACTTGCATATGATTATGCCATAGGGTGTAATATAGAAGTTCCTTCTTCCTGGAACTGCAAGAATATTGACAGAGACCCCTGAAAAAGACAAAATTGAAAAAGAAACAATTGAACGCCAGAAAAAAAAGTTAAGAAAAATATTATCAAGAAATTGTCTAAACCAACTAAACCTAACTGTAAAAAAAAATTATTTGATAAAGTATCAGAAAAACCTAGTGATGACAGTGATGACAATTCAAAGACTGATTTGGATGGAATAACGTATGGCGACTTTGTATTGGTTAAATATTATACAGGGAAAAGTACAACCTTTTTTGTTGGATGTATAGAAGATTTTGATCATCAAAACTATGTGGTATCATTTTTGAAAAAAAAAACAGGTGGCACATTTGTTTACCCTGATGAAAACGATATAGACCAGATACCACACTCAGATATTGAGTTACTATTACCAAAGCCGAAAGTTTCAGGTAACACAAAACGGAGTGAAGGAGTCTTGGTTTTCCCTAAAGTTTCGTTTGAAAATTATAATATGGGTTGAGGTAAAACCTTATCCATTTGTTTTTATAAGTTTTTATGATTTTGTTTAAATATGGGTAGAGGTATACCTATTTTATACCTACATTGTTAAGTTTTAAAAAATGTTGTTAAGCGTTTTAAGTGTTACTAAAACTTATAGGTATATTAATAATTACCAGTAATTTCAACAATGTTCCTACATTATCTAGTTTTATGTACAACTAATGTTCAATTTATAAAGCATATAATATTACTATAATGTTCCTATTGTTATTAACTGTATTATGTTGTGTTATTTCTATGATGAAATAAAGTAAATATTTTATTTAAATTAGTACCTATTTATTTATGTTCAAAATTCAAATGTGCCCCTTTAATTGTATAAGACACATTCTAATCAACCCCATGCACGTTCAAATCTACCCCATAGATGGGGCACATTTGAATAAAAATATTGTTGACTTCATAATTAGAAATTAAATTAGTTATTTAATATATAAGGTTGTTTTGAGTCAAATAGTATTCAYAAACATCTAGACTACAGATTGCAATTATCAAATTCAAAATTAGTTAAAAAAATAAAAATTAAAAAATGAAAATGTGAATTTCATTCAAATCTGCCCCACTCTCCCTACAGATTTTTCTTCAAACCATAAAATACCAAAAATAAGTCATAGAATAAATAATCAATAGATTTCATAAAATTATTTAATGCTAAATAATTTTTTATTAGTTATTTATTTCATACTAACTTTTTTTATTTGTACTTATTATTAYCACTAGGGCACAAGAAATTTAGTGCATTTTTTTTTAATTTACATTTTAAGAATATCACTAGGTACAAAGCATTGTAAAATTTTTTGATACCACATAATTTTATTCAGTTTATTTATTTTAATATTGAACTTTTTAATTTGCTTTTAAATAAATATAATTAATATCAGTAAGCAACTTGTATATTTGTAACAAGAGTTATTATATAATTTTTCAATATTACCATTTTTTTTTTTTATTACTATTATAATTTAATATTGAGCTTTTTATTTGWGCTCTCATTATTATTAATATTTTTGAAGTTATATGAATTGGTACAAATTATGGTACAATTAATGGTGCAGAAAAAATGGCAAAAAGTTAATTTGGTGTGATGACGGGTGCCGGGGAAACGTTTTCCTGGCACCCGTAGAGGAAAATTGGTTTTTCCCAGTGAAATTTTATGGTACAAATTCTGAAATGATTGGTACAAATTGGTACAAATAATGGTGCAGAAAAAACAATGATTTTTTGATTTTGCCAGGGAAACCTACCTTGCATCTAGAGGGTTACGACCTAGTGAGTTAGCTCAGCATGAGCTTTATTGGAAAGGTCCTACTYTCCTTCACCAGTTCRGTGAAAGATGGTCATCCAAAGTTAACCTGATGCCATCAGATCAGTTGCCTGAGATCACAGGTCCGATATCTTGTGTTGTAGTAAAGACGGGGGAGGAGTCTGAATGGTTTTCCCRYGTCTCTTCTTTCACGAATGTTGAGAATTATTATCCGTTTACAACGATTTATCAAGTCGTGCCGCTAGATTTCCAGTCGATATAAGTTTTTTCTCGTTCCAGGACTACAGTGATGCACTGGTGGTTGTAGTTAAGTGTTCACAAGTTCTATTTTTGAAGCCATTGTATCATGAACTGTTAGCCGGTAAGGATATCTCCTCTCGTCCACTTGTTCCACTTKCACGTTTATCRCCGTTCATCGATGATCGTGGTATCATTCGTGTCGGAGGTCGTCTTCGCCATTCTTTGTTGTCAAATCGACGCAAATATCCGATTCTGTTAGCRAAATCTTCATATTTGTCCTTAATGATTGCCCCACATTGGCATCGGTTCGCATGTCATGCAGGCCCCAGTCTAATTTCAGCTCTGATATTTAGATAGTTTTGGATCATGGGGGACCGTTTTGTTATATGGCGTGCCATTAGTGAGTTYACAATTTGTGTTAAGCTATCAGCTCGAAATCCACAACCGATAATGGCAGATCTGCCTGATGTCAGAGTTCAACAATGCCATCCCTTTTCATGTGTAGGCATAGATTATGCAGGTCCTCTTCTCATGAAGGAGACAAGTTTACGAAAGGCTCGTTAATATAAGGTCTATATTGCAGTCTTTGTATGCATGAGTGTCATGGCAGTACATTTGGAACTAGTATCAGACCTTTATACCAATGCTTTTCTGGCAGCATTCAATTGGTTCTAGCTCGGCGAGGAATGCCTTCGGCAGTGTATTCCGATTGTGGTACTAATTTTGTAGGTGCCTCAAAAAAATTGTTTGATCTTGTCAATAACCCAAAAAACCGCRAGTAGTTGTGCTCTGCCTTTGTTTGTTCTTGGCATTTTAACCCCTCCCCCCAGTGCTCCTCATTTTGGAGGGCTCAGGGAGTCAGCAGTACGTTCTACAAAACTTTTATTAGTGCGGGTGATTGGCAATCAAGTGTTGTATCGAGTAGAATCAGCATTTAATTCTAGACCACTCACTCCCGCCTCTAATGATCCAAATGACTTAGACTGTCTCTCGCCTGTTCATTTTTTGACCGGTCGTCCCTTATGTGCAGTGCCTGAAGAGGAGGTTCCTGTCAGTTCAACAAACCTTAAAAACCATTGGAAGTTCCTTCATCAGGTCTTTCAGGCATTTTGGCGCCACTGGTCAAACGAATATTTACACACTCTCCAGAACAAAGGACGGTGGCTGGTTAACCAGGAAAATGTTAAAATGGGAGAGTTAGTGATTATTAAGGATAACAAATCATCCCCATTGGAATGGAAGTTGGGTGGGGTTCATGAGCTTATTCCAGGTCAGGATGGAGTTGTAAGGGTGGTAAAATTGTTAACTCAGCAAGGCCTTATTACTAAGTTAGTTCCACTTCCTACACAATAAACCTAATTGATACCTTTCCAAACTTTAAATTGATGTTGTCTATTAAATATTRAAARTTAATTTTAATCAGATAWTGAAATAATATAAATAATGTCTGACCAACTACTAGTTCAGTATTTGGTACCTATGAAAGTTCCTTTTGTCTCTGTTTCCTGTTCTTCTTATATTTAATATATTTGTATGACAATAATGTAATATTGTATTTACAATGTTACCGCGCCAAGAGTGTCTTCCGTTGAGGGTTTGGCTCCTGTGGCTCTCATTGCATTCAAGTTTGTTATGGTTAAGGACTACTTAATAAAAAAAAAA